AAAAAAAAAAAAAAAAATAGCTGAGTGCTGTGCCTCATACCTGTGATCCTAGCATTCTGGGAAACTGAGGTGGGTAGATTGCTTGAGCTCAGGAGTTTGAGACCAGCCTGAGCAACAGCAAGACCTGGTCTCTACTAAAAGAAAAAAAAAAACAACAGAAAAACTAGCTTGGTGTTGTGGTGGGTACCTATAGTCTCAGCCTGAGCCCAAGAGTTTAAGGTTACTGTAAGCTATGATGATGTCATGATACTCCACTCAGGGCATCACAGAGTAAGACTCTTTGTCTCAAAAAAAAATAAAAAATCACAAAGGTTATGTGCTGTATGATTCTATGTCCATAACATTCTTGAAATAGCAAAGATGGAGAACAAGTCAGTGGTTGCCAGGGGTTAGGGATTAGGGGTGAATGGTATGGCTATAGAAGGGCAGCACGATGGAGGCTTATGGTGATGGACATGCTCTGTGCCTTTGTTGTGGTGGTTATGCAAACCTACATGTGATCAAAGGTAATGGAACAGACACACTGGAGTGTGAGTAACACTGGTGAGATCTCAGTAAGCTCTGTGGATTATACCAATGCCAGTGTCCTAGTTGTGATACTGTGCTGTAGTAGAATATATCCTGATTATTTCAAAATTAAAGAAATTACAAATTGTGGGAAATGCTGTCAAGGAAACCTACAAGGGGCGGAGATAGAGAATGACAGAAGGCAGAGCCCTCGCTAGAGAGGTGATTTTTAATCTGAGAGCAGAAGGATGAAGAGAGACCAGAAGAGGAACATTCAGGCTTCCCCTTCTACAGAAGAAAGCTCCACCAAGACAAGCCTCCTGGCCAGGAACAGTTGAAGCATCTCTGGACAGAACCAGCTCTTGGAAGGAGTATTTTGCTTTTCTTCTTGATACCTATTCCCCTCTCTTCTCCCAACCTCCTATGTTGATTCTCTTTCGTCTTCTGCCAACAGCCTGGACAAATTACTTGATACTGGTCTCTATACTGGAGAAGTGACTGAAATTGTAGGCGGCCCGGGTAGTGGCAAAACTCAGGTATGTGCGAGGCCAGTGGCCAGGAGGATTGAGGGAGGTGGATGCATATAGCCCTGGATCCCTTGTGGAGCTTCTGGCAATGCACTCATGGGTTCAGAGCTCAACAGAAAGAAAATAAGTGATGGAGAGTGGGGTTTGGACTCGGCCCATTTGTGTTACTGAAATCTGGGCAAGATTTGGGAGGGAACTCCCTTTGTAAGTCCTCTCAGAGGACTCAAGTTCACTCACTCCTCTGTCTCTATTCAGATATGCCTTTGTGTGGCAGCAAATGTAGCCCATGGCCTGCAGCAAAACGTCCTGTACATTGATTCCAATGGAGGGCTGACAGCCTCCCGCCTCCTGCAGCTGCTTGAGGCTAGGACCCAGGATGAGGAGGAACAGGTAAAGGGCAAGATGATTGGGTTCTATTGACCCATCTGACACAAGAAGACCCCGTCATCCCTTAATGCTGCAAGAATTCTGGTTGTTGAGGTTAATGGTTATTTCTTGCTTTGAAATTTGCCGTTTTATTAATACATCCTGTATTCCTGAAGCCTCCCCTATTAATACCATCAGCCCAGCTTGGGTGCTACCCTCACCAGTTCTTCTAGGAAACTCCCCCAACTCCTCACATACCTTAAATCAGGGCTGGCAGACAGTTGCCATCCTGTGTTTCTAGTCCATTTCTTGCCCATGGCAGGTATCAGTATTGGGTCACATCACTCCTTCCCACTGTGTTCTAAGTACAGCTTAGCGCCTAGGCAGCCACTGCTGTGCATGCTAGCCCATTAGACAAAGCCCATCTGCCATCCTGGACCTACATCCTTGCCTCTTCCTTCTCAGCCTTACTTAAACTTTCTCCTCCCTCTTATCCAAAGGCCCTGCTTCTCTTTCCCATCTTTTCAGGCAAGAGCTCTCCAGAGGATCCAGGTGGCACATGCATTTGACATCTTCCAGATGCTAAATGTGCTGCAGGACCTCCGAAGCACTGTGGCCCAGCAGGTGAGCCTGCTGTTCTGTTCCTCCTTGCTTTACCCAACATGCGGGGTGCTACACCTATCTGTATGTGGGCAGGTGTCCTACTACAGACTCAGTTTGGAAATGCAGATGTACGATCTGGTGGCTCCAGCTGTGCTTGCCACTCCCTGGATGGAATTCCTAAATGCTTAATTCATATGTGTCATTGCTCACTGTTCATCTTCCCTGCTCAACAGTAAGCCCCTTGAGTGGAAGGATCATGTCTCATTGATCTTTGTATTCCCCTCTAGATGAGTTAGGAATACTTACTTTCAGCAGCAAGTAATAGAGGTTGTCTACCATGCCTGGCTAATTATACAATTTGTTATTTTTGGTAGAGATGCAAGCTCACTATATTGCTCAAGCTGGTCTTGAAATTCTGGCCTAGTGAAGTGCCAAGGAGTACGGGCATAAGCCACTAGACCCCTGCACCAGATTTTTCTAATCTAAGAGCTCTGCAGTCTTCTGCAGTGGTAATTCACACCTTGAGTATCAGAACTGCCAGAGTGTGCTAATTAAACCTGAACCTTGAGGACATTGAGTTATCTTGTAAGAGTCTGGAGTTTGGCAGGCTCACAATATCAGGGTACTAGGTTGTGGTCTGGTTCTCTTGTTCTTCTACTCATGATTGCAAAGTGGCTGCAATAGCTCTAAGCATCTTGTCTTCACACATCCATGTTCATATTCAGGTCAGTGAAAGATAGATGGTTCTTTTCTGTATTTTCTTCCTTTTTATCAGGGAAGAAAAATCTTTTTCCAGACCCCTCTAACAGACTTCCCTCTGCCCCTTACAGCTAGTTGGCCAAGACTGAGTTATGTGTGTAGCTTGGGCCAGTGGCTGGGCCCACCTCCCCTGAAGTCAGGAGATTGCTGCCTGAACACATTCAGAGACCTGTTGACAAGGAGAATTTAGGATGGCATTTGGGTTGGTACTCTGCTCCTCCTGTGAGGTGCTCAGACAGGATCTGGTGCACTGGTAAATGACTGTTAGATCTGGAAGATACCTTAGAGATAAAATAGTTTAGTTGACCTCAAACTTTCCTCTCTTTCCCCAGACCATGACATATTCTCATGGACATACCCAGGCTTGTATATAAAGTAATAATTTTCACAAACTTTAGAACATATACATGTGCTAATTGAACAAATACTTGCCACAGAAAGTATAGCTAGTAATGACCCACCAGTGTGTTGGGATGGGAAGTTGAGAAATGCTGACCGAATCTAGCCCTTTTGTTTTTAGAGATGAGGAGAGTGAACACCAGAGATGTTGAGTTGCCCAAAGTCTCCACATATTTAGGATAAGAACTAGCATTATTGAGCAGACTTCTCACTTCCAGGTCAGAAGATTCAGTACTGGCCAGAGACTGCCTTCAGCTCTCAAGGTTGCCCACTGCTCCTGCTGTGTGGCACTTTCCCCATTGGGTGTATACTATGGCCATCTGCTTCTTCAAGAGCAAGGAAATTGAGAGCAAGTAGCCATACCAGGTCTTATATAAAATAATATAACTACAGGGCCAAGATAGCTCATGTCTGTAATCCCAGCACTTGGGGAGGCTGAGTTGAGAGGACCATTTGAGGCCAAGAGTTTAAGACCTGCCTGGGCAACATAGTGAGACCCCATCTCTATTAAATATAAAAAAATTAGATTGGGCACAGTAACTCATGCCTGTAATCCTAGCACTTGGAGAGGCCAAGGCTGGTGGATTGTTTGAGTTCAGGAGTTTGAGACCAGCCTGAGCAAGGGTGAGACCCTGTCTCTACTAAAAAAAAAAGAAAGAAAGAAAAACTAGCTGGGCAGGGTGGCACATACCTATAGTCCCAGCTACTTGGGAGGCTGATGCAAGACGATTGCTTGAACCTAGAAGTTTGAGGTTGCTGTGAGCTACAATGATGCCATGGCACTCTCCTCAGGGTAGAGTGAGACTAGGTCTGCAGAAGAAAACAAAGGAACAAAAAGGCCGGGCACACTGGCTCATGCCTTTAATCCTAGCACTCTGGGAGGCCAAGGCAGGTGGATTACCTTTGCTCACAGGTTTAAGACCAGCCTGAGCCAGAGCGAGACCCCATCTCTAAAAATAGCCGAGTGTTATGGCAGGTGCCTGTAGTCCCAGCTACTTGGGAGGCTGAGGCAAGAGAATCACATAAACCCAAGAGTTTGAGGTTGCTGTGAGCTATGAGGCC